GAATTATGTGGGAAAGACGGGAACAGATTCAGGTCCGCAGCTGAATGAATAGTCAACGATTGCAATTAAATCAGCAAAAATGATTTCTAATGCCTCTGAATTGGCCTCGACTTTGTTCGAAAGTGTAACGAAAATCAACTAGTTTTCTATTCATCCTGCAGAACATGGAACCCTGCACCAGCATAGGTGGCGACATTGTCACATCGTCAACTGTGGTAAAGTACGACACCGATCCTAAATAGATGCACTCACGTATGGGGAGTCGAGCTAGGGAGTCAGCCAGTCCAAGTAGAGTAGATCTGAAAATTCTGGCTCAGCTTTGGAATCTGAGGTCCCTTTTGGAAGCTTATTCCTCGGAAGTCGATAGAGGCTATCTTTAGAAAGGTTTGGGCATAGGACTGGATAGTGCCGGGTGGATTTTACAGCGAAGTCATCGTTCAATTCTTTTCTTTCATTCTCGTTTCATTCTCGCTGCTTCGTTCCAGCGTGCTCTCTCCTTACAAATCTTGATGTTGGATTCTTATTTCATTAATATTTTTATAGGATTCAATCCTATTCTGACATATGTCTACATTCCAAGAACGTGTTCTCAACGAACATAGCACATTAAAAATTCATGATATAGTTGTATCTTCATCTTCATATTCATCATTAGAGTTTTCCTCTTCATCGCTGCTTGTCCAGCGGCAACGGGTGTAGATTCTAGACCTCTCCTCGGGTCCAATGTATTTCTGAAACAGAGATAAAGACGAGTATCCAAAAAATCATAGTTGGAGTGACATCAATTCCAATTTCTGAGGTAATGATACCCGAAACTACACCTAAAAGCACGGAAATGAGAGCCACCCTAATTGAGAAGTAGTCAAATGGTCTATTAACTTCATCCTTGCTTCAGCTTGTAAAATATATTTTTATTTTTCTACGGTAACTCATAGGCGTTTCAAAACTTACTACCATGAGGGTCTCAAGCCTGAATTGGAACGAACTCAACCTCTTTGTAGATGTCGAGTTCTTTCAAATGCACGAGGTTATCTTCTATCTCCCACGTTTGAATATGTGAACCGTTATAGAGTTCGAACTCGACCTGAAATCGTTGAATCGACCTTCTCAATTCAAATTTCTGCTTTTACAAAATGTCACTATTTCCCTCAAAACAAGATAGGTCCTGCGCTCGGTACAGGAATCTCGTTGAGGGGGCTAGTGGCCGAAAACTGAACGTATCTACAAATGCCTGGTCAGCTAACGGATTATGGATTACTCCTTTACTAATCAATCCTTTGCAAAAGTTGCTTCTTCATAACATTTGCTGAAAAGCTCCAATTATGTTGAAAATAGGATTAACGAGAAGCTCTGCTTTTGAAGAACAAAGCTAGATTATGAATTCTCTATTTTGTCATTTTTCGTATGTATTATACTTCTAGAGAAATGGAAGATATAACCCTCAAGCACTCACAGTGTTATCTGCGGACATGACAGCATCGTAAACTTCCCACCTCGATGAGTAAACTTCATTTTTAATGTTCAAAAGATATGTACGACACTATAGTGGAAGAATGCATAAAAACGTCGATACTTAGACTCTTCTTGACAGAAAAATTTTAGTTGAAAACAATGTTTGTATTTTCCCCTACCCCACTTATAGTCATTTCATGATTCCACTCCTTATTTCAATCAGCTATGGTGTGAAACTAGAAAAGAGGCACGCTGGAAAAATTTTTTTAAAAATGAAAATGTCTAGATTGTTTGGTAAGTTTGCCTATTCGAAGAAGGTCACATGAGATTGCATTTGGACTGAATTGTTGTTTGTCCACTGTTGCTCTCAATTTCATCTTATGTTCGTCTGTTAATCGATGGTGGAGCCAATAACTTGACCGCTCCTTACCATTAGTGATCTCTTTCGGACTTACTGGGTCTACGAATTCATGTCTTTTTGAACACAACATAAGTATTTTTAACTCGAAGATTATTGTTTTGATATTTAATTCTCAAGGGGCTATGTTCAATACTAATATGCCAAAATTATAGCGGAAAGGATCGCCAATAAAATGCTTGAAATAGGAAAGCCTCTCAGGTGAGGTGTAAGTTCTCCTATCATATGCACTCAGTAGCACAGCTTAAAGGCACAGTTCACGATAATTTTGAGGTATCCGGTTTTTGACGGGAAATCATAGGTACGGCCTACAGTAGTACAATGGATGAACAGAAATCGCGAAAAACGACGAATAAAAGAAATACAAAGGGTCGGAAAAGAGGTAAAAAGGGGAGTTGGACGAGTTACACAGCCGAAAACCGCGGTTAAGGGGAGTGTTCGGGCGAGTCAGACGAACGCGACGCAGTGTCTGCAATTGCACACAACACAC